CTATCAAATCCCCCCCTCACTCTTCACTTCTGCAGACTAAACAGACCCAACTCCCTCAGTCTCTCCTCATAGGTCATATGCTCCAGCCCCCTGATCATTTTGGTTGCCCTCCGCTGGACCCTCTCCAGTGCGTCCACATCCTTTTTGTAGTGGGGGGCCCAGAACTGGACACAATACACCAGATGTGGCCTCACCAGAGCCAAATAAAGGGGAATAATCACTTCTCTGGATCTCCTGGCAATGCTCCTCCTAATGTACACTAATATGCCATTAGCCTTGGTTACAAGGGCACACTGTTGACTCGTATCCAGCTTCTCATCCCCTGTAGCCCCAGGTCCTTTTCTGCAGAACTACTACTTAGCTGGTAGGTCCCCAGCCTGTAACAATGCTTGGGATTCTTCCGTCCCAAGTGCAGGACTCTACACTTGTCCTTGTTGAACCTCATCAGATTTCTTGTGGCCTAATCCTCCAATTTGTGTAAGTTACTCTGGACCCTATCTCTGCCCTCAAGCATACCTCTCCGCCTAGCTTAGTGTCATCTGCTAACTTGCTGAGGGTGCAATCCATCTCCTCATCCAGGTCATTAATAAAGATATTGAACAAAACCGGGCCTAGATCTGAACTTTGGAGCACTCTGCTAGAAACCGACAATTCTGACATTGAGCCATTGATCACTACCTGCTGGGCCCAGCCTTCTAGCCATCTTTCTATCCATCTTACTGTCCATTTATCCAATCCACATTCCCTTAACTTGCTGGCAAGAATATTGTGGGAGACTGTATCAAAAGCCTTGCTAAAGTCAAGGTATCCACTGACTTTCCCATGTCCACCGAGCCAGTTACCTCATCATAAAAGCTAATCAAATTGGTCAGGCACGACTTGCCCTTTGTGAATCCATACTGACTATTCCTGATCACTTTCCTCTCTTCCAAGTGCCTCAAAATGGATTCCTTAAGGATCCCTTCTATGATTTTTCCAGGAACTGAGGTAAGACTGACCGGCATATAGTTCCCGAGATCATCCTTCCTCCCTATTTTGAAGAGGGGCACTACATTTGCCTCTTTCCAATCATCCGGGATCTTTTTGATCTCCACAACTTTTCAAAGATAATGGCCAAAGGCTCCTCAATGACATTTTCCAACTCCCTCAATACCCTCGGATCTAATAAGTCCAGACCCATGGATTTGTGTAGGTTTAGCTTTTCTAAATAGTTCCTAACCTGTTCTTTACCCACCAAAGGCTGTCCATCTTCATCCCATCTTGCATCACTTAGCGCATTAGTCCGGGAGCCCACCCTATCCGCGAATACAGAGGCAAAGAAAGCATTGAGTACTTCAGCTTTCCCCACATCATCTGTCACTAGGTTACCTCCTTCATCCAGTAGGGGCCCCGCATCTTCTCTGATCACCTTCTTGTTAACATGCCTGTAGAAACCTTTCCTTTTATCCTTCACATCCTTAGCCAGTCGCAATTCCATTTGCGCTTTTACCTTCCTGATAACCCCCCGGCATTCTCAAGCTATACATTTAAACCCCTCCCTGGTCATTTGTCCAAGTTTCCACTTTTTGTAAGCTTCCTTTTTGTGCTTAAGTTCACCAAGGATTTCCCCTGTAAGTCAATCCATTCTCCTACCATGTTTGCCTCTCTTGCTATGCATCGGGATGGTTTCTTTCTGTGCCTTCAATAATGCTTCTTTAAAATACTGCCAGTTGTCCTGGACTCCTATCCCCTTCATGTTAGCATCCCAGGGGATTCTGCCCATCAGATCTCTGAGGGAGTCAAAATCCGCTTTTCTGAAGTCCAGGGTGTGTATTTTACTACTCTCTTTTCTTCCTTTGGTCAGGATCCTGAAATCTACCATCTCATGTCACCCACCTCCACTTTCCCTATTAGTTCCTCCCTGTTTGTGATCAGAAGGTCAAGCTGCGCATGGCCCCTGGTCGGATCCTTCAGCACTTGTACCAAGAAGTTATCCCCAGCATGCTCCAGAAACTTCCTGGATTGTCTGTGTACTGCCGTATTGGTCTCCCAACAGATGTCAGGGTGATTAAAGTCCCCCATGAGAACCAGGGTCTGTAATCTGGAAGCTTCTCTCAGTTGTCCGAAGAAAGCCTCATCTACCTCATCCACCTGATTCGGTGGCCTGTAGTAGACATCAACCACAACATCACTGCTGTTGTTTGCACCTCTAAACTTAACCCATAGACTCTCAACAGGTTTTTCTCCCTCTATGTGCTGGAGTTCTGAGTAATCATAGTGCTCTCTTACGTATAATACAACTCCTCCTCCTTTTCTCCCCTTCCTGTTCTTCCTGAACAGTCTATACCCTTCCATGACAGCGCTCCAGTCATGCGAGTCATCCCACCAAGTCTCTGTTATCCCAATTAAATCATATTTCTTGGACTATGCCAGGGTCTTCAGTTCTTCCTGTTTGTTGCCCAGGCTTCTCGCATTAGTGTACAAACACCTCAGATAACCAGTTGATCGCCCTATCTTCTCCATCGGAATCAGGAGTCCTCCTTTCTTTCTTGTTCCTCTTTGCATTTCTTCCTGGTATCCAACTTTCCCGCTCCCCTCAGAGTTTTGTTGACTGTCCTCCGAGGAACCTAGTTTAAAGCTCTCCTCACTAGGTTTGCAAGCCTGCCTGCGAAGATGCTCCTTCCTCTCTTGGTTAGGTGGATCCTATCTCTTCCTAACAATCCTTGTGCCCAGAACAGAGTCCCATGGTCCAAGAAACCAAAGCACTCTCTGCGACACCACCTGCGCAACCACGCATTTACTTTCTCAGTTCAACGATCTCTGCTCAGTCCTTTCCCTTCAACAGGGAGGATGGACGAGAACACCACTTGCACTCCGAATTCTTTGATCCTTCTTTCCAGCGCTACATAATCTACAGTAACCCACTCAAGGTCATTCTTGGCCGTATCGTTAGTTCCCACATGGAGAAGCAGGAAGGGGTAGGGATCCGAAGGTTTGATCAGTTTTGTAAGCCTCTCAGTCACATCCTGAATTCGAGCTCCCGCTAAGCAGCTCACCTCTCGAGATCCCAGGTCCGGACTGCAGATGGATGGCTCAGTCCCTCTTAGGAGGGAGTTCTCGACCACCACCACCCGTCGTCATCTTTTGGGGGTGGTGGTCGTGGAACCCCCATCCCTAGGACTACGCATCTCATGCCTTCCAGTAGATGGTGTTCCCTTGTGGTTTCTTGCTTGTGAGGTCCCTTCCAAAACATTCACCACTGCAGAGCCTGTGGAGAGAGCCTGAAAACGATTACTTACCTCTATAGCATTGGGGGATTCCTATGCTGGCCTTTTTCCCCGTCTAGAAGTTACATTCCTAGTAGCAATCACATTGGCCAGACACATTGGAGAAATAGGAGCCCTTATGGAAAAACCCTCTTACATGGTGTGGGCAAAAAATAAAACCATGCTAAGATTGCATCCCACATTTTTGTATAATGTAGCCAACTCTTTCCACATCAAAGAACCTGCATTCTATCCTAAACCTCACAAGGACACACATGAAGTGAGCATCCATATGCTCAACATAAGACAAGCTGTCATCTTCTATCTCAACAAGACGAAGCCATTCCACAAATTGACAGAACTGTTGGTCTGCATAGCCTTGCTGTGCACTCCTCTATGACCAATGCATAATTCCAAAACCCTACAATCCTTACTGGGACATTGCTGTACAGACATCTGAAGTGGAACACCCATATGGACATCACTTGAAGAAAAAGTTACTCAACTTGTGCAGTACCAGTAGTTCGTTGGGACGTGCATCCCTGTTAGTGTTCCACCACCTTTTCTCCTCCCCTCTACTTTGGAATCGACCTACTGAACTCGGAGGTAAAGGAGCGAAAGGGGTTGCGTCGTGTGCATGGTATGTGGATGATAACGGCACCTCAAGACAGCTTCCGTGCACATGTAACACAATTGAGTACTGATAGCAAAAATCCCTGATCACCAGCATAAGGAATGCCAGAAGAGAGAGACATCTTGAAGACCATCATTGCTGTACAAAGTAACTTTTTCTTCATAAAAACATATCTGATTACAGTTTGTTACTGTACATTTCCATACATTACTATATAATTCCTCTCAGAATTACATTATAGTGTGCAGTTCTGCAGGGCCTTACATGGAAGGATCTCTGGGTATGTCTACACTAGCTTGTTAATTCGAGCTAAGTAGGCAAATGAGGCAACCGGAGTTGCAAATGAAGCCCAGGATTTAAATATCCCGGGCTTTATTTGCATGTTCCTGTCTGGTTGCCATTTTGAAATTTCACTAGCCCGAACTCACTGCCGCTCGGCTACAGTAAGGACTTAGTTCGAATTGACGTGTCACTGCTATGTGTAGCCGCGCGGCAGTGAGTTCGGGCTGGTGAAATTTCAAAATGGCAACCAGACAGGAACATGCAAATAAAGCCCGGGATATTTAAATCCCGGGCTTCATTTGCAACTCCGGTCGCCTCATTTCCCTACCTAGCTCGAATTAACGAGCTAGTGTAGACATAGCCTTTGAGTGTTTTATATGCACTAATTAGTTGAACCTCAAAACAAACCTTTGGGCAAAAACGCAGTCTTGTCAATTTAAATTTTGAGAATATAAAAGCATTTACACTTTTCTGAGGTACCTTTTTAGACTACCAAAGAAGAAATTCAATTTAAATATGAATCTGGCTTCTATTTCTCAGGAGTGAAAGAGGTACCATCTGATGATTTGTTCGTAATATGTCCCCTTAGTTCTGAGTTCTGCTTTTTGAGAATATTTGTCTGTTGAGAGGTCATGAAATCTAAGTTTGAAGAATAGCCTGAACATGACGATGGTGGTGTTTGTTTTTAAAAAGTTGATCTTATTTGTCTGTCTCTTAGATTGTTTTGTTGACTCCAGTTAGAATAATAAATAGTCCCATGAAGTTAATATTCAACTTAGATTACTGAAACTGACTTTATATTTCAGTTAATTTGTTTTTTTTTACCTTTTGCCTTAAAGGTTGCTATCGTGGCTCAAGACTTAGCATTCCATAGTGCCTCCTCAGAAATGGGACATCAGCAACATGGGCATCATTTAGTGACTACAGAAACAAGGCCTGTTACATTATTGGCTACGTCCAACGGAACGCAAATTGCCGTGCAGGTAAGATGATGATGCATTTTTGTTTAGTGTATGCTCAGTGTCCAGTGGTTGCTGGGCACCTAATGAAGTAACTAACAAACTTACAAAAACAGAAAAAAGGATGTCTGGCCAAATTTATTCCCCTGGCAGAATGCTTCTCCCCATCTTGCCCAGGGCCTGGCAAGTCTTTCAGTCCCCCGCTGCAATTCTGGGTGGGAATTGATGTATACTGCCAAATCAGTTTAGGAAAGCCTGTTTAATGAATACTAGACTTCCATTTCCAGTAGCAGTAGTCAGAATGAATTAGTTTAAATGTAAGGTACTAGTGGGCTGCGTCCCCAGCTTACAATGCTCGCCAACCCCCAGTCTGCCTGCCACAGCCAGAATGT